GGGGGGGAGGTACAGAAACGGGGAATAGAGAAAGGTGGATCTCAGTTTGATTGACTGTCGGATGGACAAAGCTGTACTCACACATCATGTATTGCTTAGTAAAGAAACATACTCACACATTTTGTAAAATCTGAACGTAATGGCGAATTGGGGCATATAAAAACAAGAACTGAAAAGAGGGAAGTATTTGGACGCTCTACTTTCTCTCTGTCTACCACCCTGTTTCACAGCTGGGAGTCGATTACGTCATAGCCATCATTAATCAACCCAATCTGATCCTGCCATGATGGACACCCCCTGTAAGACTCACGCCAAGGGCAATATAACAAAGGCTATCTTAGCTCTTTCTTTGAACATCAATAAGCAAATACAGAAATAAATAAATAAACAAATAAATCAATCAATCAACAAATTAACAAACAAATTAGTGAAAGTTGTCGTCTTGTTCCTTGTCAATCCTACCTAAATCTGAGATCAAATTCACTTCAACTTGAGCTCAGTCAACAAACGAACAAACGAACAAACGAACAAACGAACAAACAAACAAACAAACAAACAAGCCACACGGGCGCCTGCACTCACTAGTTGAAGTTGGCTGTCTTGTTCTCCTCGTTGTTCTGTGGCGAGGGAGGACAGATGTTGACGAGCGGGGGCCGGCCCTGGGAGCTGGAGAACTGTTCCGCCATCTCCTTCTCCATCTCCTCCCGACGCTGTGGGCACACAGGGGAGGACGGTCTTAGCTCAGGTGTTCGTCAGTCGTAGCACAGTCGTAGCTTAGTCGTAGCTTAGTCGTAGCACAGTCGTAGTACAGTCGTAGCACAGTCGTAGCTTAGTCTTAGCTCAGGAGTAGCTCAGTCGTAGCACAGTCGTAGCTTAGTCTTTGGTCAGTCTTAGCTCAATCTGAGCTCAGTCTTTGGTCAATATTAGTTTAATCTCAGGTCAGTGTTCAATCTTAACTCAATCTGGGCTCAATCTTAGCTCAGCCGTAACTCAACATTAGCTCAAACTTACTTCAGTCTTACTTCAATCTTAGATTAATCTTAACTTAATCTGAACTCAATCTTTGCTCAATATTAGTTTAATATCAGCCAGGTGAGTGTTACTTCAATCTTAACTCAATCTAAAAATCAATTTTTGCTCAAACTTAGCTCAATGTTAGTTCAATCTTAGCTCAGTCTTAGCTCAATATCTGCTCAATCTTAATTCAATCTTGGTTAATTCTCAGTTCAATTCTCTGTTCTAACGTAGTTCACTTTGAGCCGATATTACCCTCATTTTTATCCACAATTTTAAATAAACCGTAGCTCTGTCATAGCTCAATCTTAGCTCGAGCTTAGCAGCTCAATTCCCCCCC